AGTTTAATAATTGAAACAAAATAAAGTAAAATAGTAGTAGTAATAATAACAATATAATAATAATAGTAATAATGATATACAAAGCAAGTGATGCACAATGCAATTGCTCACCACCCACCGACCCATACCCAGCCAGTTCCCGAGCAGCGATCGCTGCCCCCCGGCCAGTCCCCCCTAGTTATATACCTACCGTGACGCCATATGGTATGGAATAGCCCTTTGGGCAGTTTGGGTCAGCTGGCCTGGCTGTGCCCCCTCCCAGCTTCTTGTGCACCTGGCAGAGCATGGGAAGCTGAAAAGTCCTTGACTAGCATAAGCACTACTTAGCAACAACTAAAACATCGTTGTGTTATCAACATTCTTCTCCTACTAAATCCAAAACATAGCACTATGCCTGCTACTAGGAAGAAAACTAACTCTATCCCAGCCGAAACCAGGACAGTAGCACAAAATACAATAATTTTCATCCAGTATATCCATCCGACATATCTCATTGAATCAGCAGAAGGTTTCCTCTGTGGGAAATGTCAAGCTGAGATCCTTACAAAGGGTAGTGCTAATGCTGTGATGTTTTGTTCTTATCTTCTGTAGGATTTTGAAAATGGTGGAGACAGTGGATATCCCAGTGAAAAGAGAAGTGAGCTAGAAGATCTGGATCATAGAGAGAGGGTAGGAACCTGACTCTGGGTTTAGTAGAGTTGGGCCTGTTCATACTTGAACTGTTTCCATAGAAGAATCTTCTTTTTTTATCCCTCTTGATCTAGACTTAGTAAACAGAGGAAACGGTTGGAAAGAAATTCCCACATGTTGCAAAATTACTTATTCATCTTGGGAATGTTAATGATACTTTTATAGGAAAAAGACTATTTGTAATGAGGAGCTCAATTTCAAACATTAGACTGCATATTGTTGTGGGAATTTTTTAAGTATTCTGTATTGCATTTGAGAAATGTAGCCAGCTTTTGTCATATGGAGTCCATGAATATGATCTACTTTCTGACTCTTACCCTCTCTAGTTTCTATGACTTTATATGGCTTGAGATATCAAGAACTTAATGTTGTTGTCAGTTAGTAATATGCAACTTCAGAATTCCTATGGGTTAGCTGGTTACTCCTTTAAAATGCAAACTTTTAAATAAATGCTTCTTGACCTGTAGATCTTAACTAGATATTTAATTAGAAGATAGGAAAGAGAATACTGCTTCCAAAGATACCACTCCTTTTGTCACCTTTGAAGCGGCAAGGTATTTGTCATGGTATATCCAGTTTACAGGATTAAAGGCTGGGTGTGCCATATTCTTTACCATTTCAGTATGTTTCTTTTTATACTGTGATATCACCGAGAGAAAAGAATCCAGTGGAAACTATTTTGGTCATTGTCACATTAATTTTGCTGGATAGGAATAGTCTAGAGGGATAACTGGCACACATCAGTTGCTGCAAACTAAATGACGCAAATCTTTACATTAATGTAGGGCCCTTCAAACAACAACCGAAGACATGAATCTGATGAAGACAGTTTGGGAAGCTCTGCAAGGGTAAATAAAGCAGAAATGTTCATAGACGATGAGTTTGCCACTCTGCTTGGCCTTTGTTCCACTCACCTGCCATCTAACTTCACATCACTAAATCAGATGGCAGGTTTCCTTCCTTTTCAGTTACAGAATATATTTATTAATACTAACTTACCACTTTGTGTTGTTTCCTTTTTTGTTTTGTCTTGTATTTTCCAGTTAAAGAAGTACTGTTATAAACAAATTGTCACCTCTGTAACTGATCCCTGACATAAATTAATGGGTTTCTCACTTAAAAAAAAAAAAAATTACAGTTCTATGGATTTTTTTCTGCCTAACTAGATTATATTTCCTTTCTGCGCTTTATTTTTGGAATTGTCCCCCGTATGTGGTTGGATGACTTTTTTAAAACATGTGGCATTTGAAATATGTGACAGTAGCTCTCTCCACTGTCTATCTACCTGAGCTAGGGAACACCAGACCTTCTTGTATGTTTTATAAAACATAGCTCCTGTGATAACTAGTTTCTGTGTCTATAAACTTAAACAAATAACTCTATTCTGTAAGGAAAGAAAAAAACAGAGCTTTGACAACAATGAGTAATTTAATTAGATAAGCTTTTCAGAATTTCCTTGTAATTATTATATATTGCTGTTTCAGGAGGTTGAAACAGCTTTAACAGACTGAGGTTCTGTGCCAGTGTCGTGGTTTAGCCCCAGCCAGCAACTAAGCACCATGCAGCCGCTCGCTCACTCCCCCTACCCCGATGGGATGGGGGAGAGAATCGGAGGAGTAAGAGTGAGAAACACTCCTGGGTTGAGATAAGAACAGTTTAATAATTGAAATAAAGTAAAATAGTAATGATAATAATGACAATATAATAATGATAATAACAATAATAATATACAAAGCAAGTGATGCACAATGCAGTTGCTCACCACCACCCGCCGACCGATAACCAGACAGTTCCCGAGCAGCGATCGCTGCTCCCTGGCCAACCCCCCCAGTTTATATACTGAGCATGACGCCATATGGTATGGAATAGCCCTTTGGCCGGTTTGGGTCAGCTGGCCTGGCTGTGCCCCCTCCCAGCTTCTTGTGCACCTGGCAGAGCATGGGAAGCTGAAAAGCCCTTGACTAGAGTAAGCACTACTTAGCAACAACTAAAACATCGTTGTGTTATCAACATTCTTCTCCTACTAAATCCAAAACACAGCACTATGCCTGCTACTAGGAAGAAAATTAACTCTATCCCAGCCGAAACCAGGACAGCCAGTAACCTTCCTGGTTGTGTTTCCCCTGTGTACCTCCAAAGGCTTTCATTTTGATAGGATTGTTTTTGGCTACTGTTTCCCATTCACCCATTATGTTGAAAAGTTGTTTGTTCTCATTTGTGTTGGACATCCTGAGAAACACCAACGCATGTATCTGCCTATCATCTTCTGCGCTATTACTTTTCATTTTTCTAGAGTTGTAGAATGCAAGCAGCATTTAAAATGTTTTGAACTGAAATTCTGACCAGAAAAATATGGGTTTAATTTTTTTGTGCACGGATAACCTCAGTGCTTGCAGTGTGACTATTCAGGTGCTTATTTTTATAAGTAACCTTTTTTCTGATTCAGAACTTAATGCTTTGCTTTGCTGCTGTCATTTATGGAAGATATTTGATGTTGGGATTAGAAATAGAGGGCTTTACTCTGTTTCTTTAATGAAGAATAATAACTGTTTATTCAGCTACTAACATGACTTTCGTGTCTTAAATTACAGTATTTACTAATAAGTA